ACTCCTTTTATAGACCAGGCTGGCCTCTGCCTGCCTCTGCCTCCCAAGTGCTGGGATTAAAGGCGTGCGCCACCACCGCCCGGCTTAAAATTTGTTATATTGCTGGGGATAACCTTGAACTTTTTTGGTTTTTCAAGACAAGGTTTCTTGGAGCTTTGGAGCCTGTCCCAGAACTGGTTCTGTAGATCAAGCTGATTTCAAACTCACAGAGATCCGCCTGCCTCTGCGAGTGCTGGGATTAAAAATGGCTGAGCCATCTCTCCAGCCAGAACTTTTTGTTTTGATTTGATTTTCGAGAGGGGTTTCTCTGTAGCTTTGGAGCCTGTCCTGGAAATAGCTCTTGTAGCCCAGGCTGGCCTCGAACTCGCATTGATCCGCTTACATCTGCCTCGTGAGTGCTGGGATTAAAGGCATGCTAGTGCTGGGATTAAAGTTGTGTGCCTCCACTGCCCAGCTTCAGCCCACATTTTTGGATCCTCTTGGCTCTACCTCCCACCTGTTGATATTACAGGGTGCCTGGTTTATGTTTTTGTTTTTTTTTTGTTTTGTTTTGTTTTTTTCGAGACAGGGTTTCTCTGTGGCTTTGGAGCCTGTCCTGGAACTAGCTCTGTAGACCAGGCTGGTCTCGAACTCACAGAGATCCGCCTGCCTCTGCCTCCCGAGTGCTGGGATTAAAGGCGTGCGCCACCACGGCCCGGCTTATGTTTTTTGTTATGATTCTGACTTTATTAGATCAGAACAAATGAAGTAACAGCAAAAGATCCATTCTGCAATCTGACTTCACTGGTCATCGGACAAGAAGGAAAGTGCAGTCAGAGAAGCATCTCCGGTCTCAGCCTCAGAACAACACCTGGGCCCTAAAGTGCATCTGCTTAGTGTCATTGTTCTTCATCCCCATCTTCAGCATCCACTTCGACTGCTCCCGCACAAAAGCTGCTCCTGTGCTGCCCGTCCACCACGGGGCTCGGGAGTGCTGGAGTGCCCTGCCCACAGCCTTCTGGCTTCCAGCAGTGGTCACAGCCCTTGACAAGCCAAGTCGTTGTTTGTAGTATCTCATCAAGGAGCAATGACCCACTCTAGCACCAGAGGGAAGTATCAGCTCCATGGTTTCATCATCCCATTCCAAGGTCTTTTCTGAGGACAGCTCCTCAATCTCATCAAGGTCCTGCTCCTCCTTGTAGTCTGGGTAGCTACTCCTAAAGTCATAGAAGTCTGCGAACTCCAAAGCCGCGTCACCATCTGCAAAGAGCTTGCAGTGGCTCTTGTCATTCATGTGTGCCTGCACAGCCTCTGTAGAGTAGAAGGATTTGCCTCTCTCGTTGCACCACAAGCAAATCTTGCCAACACCGACTTTCTCTCCCAAATATTTAACAAGTCCTTTCAGATCTGAAAGATATTCTATATCAGGAATAAAGAAGCTGTGGATTTTAGTCATATGAGCCACATTCTTCATGAGGGAGCTTGAGTGATGGGAACAAAATAAGCAGTCTGTTACTGGGATGGCACCTGGGGGCGCGCTCTCCCCAGCTTCTGCATCCTCATCATCCAGTCCAGGGGTCTCACATTCCAATCCATCATCTGAATCAATATCTTCCCAATCTTCCTCCTGTTCACTCTCCTCCCACTGCTGCTTCGCTAACTTCCTCGCCTGCTGCTCGAACCACTGCAGCCTGGGCGGCTTCTCGGCGTGTTCCGAATCCCGAACGCCCCGCCGCCGGCCCGTCGCCCTCTGGGACAAGGCCACGGACACGGAGAGCACTTTCTTGGGGGACGTGGACGGCTGGGCTTTGATGACCTGCTGGATGGCCGCGTTCATGACATCCTTGCCCACGCTGCTGTCGGCGCCTAGTCCCTTCTCCAGGTTCTTCTCGTTGAGCATTTCCACTTGCCGGCTCGCCGCCCGCACCGCCTTCTTCTCCAGCTCCACGTGCCGCCGCGACTTGAGGTGGTTCTCGTAGGCGTTGAACGTGGCGAACTTCTTGCTGCACACCGTGCAGTAGGTGGCTGAACTCTTGCTCTCCTCCTCAGCTACCGCTCGCTGCGCCCGCAACCGCTCCTGGAAGCCTTCGGCGGTCACCGGGGCCATGTTGGCCACCTTGCGCCGCAGGTTGTAGAGGTGCCAGTCCGTCTTGTAGTGCGATCGCTGCATCTCCGAGTAGGGGAACGCCACCTGGCAGGTGATGCAGCTGTATGTCGCCATGGCGGGGTCGGGAGGGAGAGGTGGTGACCTAGCCGAGAACTCACGGAGCGGCGTTTCAGTCTCACCAGATCCGAAGACACCACCTCGCCTGCAGCCACACAAAGCCGCTGTAGGCTTGGGCTTCTGGAATCTCACTGGGGAAACAACCGGCCTGTTCTTTAAGTACTCTTTGCTGGGCAGAAAGTCCCGCCTCTTTCCTTCGCCACGCCCCGGAAGATGGGGGCTCTTCGTTTCTAGTGCTCGGTCCGCGCTGTCAATCAGAGGCGTTCCCCGGAGGGAGAGGGAGGAGGGCGTGGGCTCTGCTTTGGGTTACAGGAGGTCTCAGTGGCTCTTGCTCGGTGTGTTCCCTCTTGACTGTCTCCTGGACGTCTCGAAAGGGAGCTCAAACGTGGCGACAGCGTTGGACTTCTGGGGCCTCCAGACCCAAACCTTCGCCTCTGCAGCAAAGGGCGAGGGCAAAACTCTTGAATAAAGTTTTCCCTACTGGCTGCCAAAAGCACAGCCAGGCCACTGTCACACAGAAATATAGCCCGAGCGGGGCGGTGGTGGCACACGCCTTTAATCCCAGCACTCGGGAGGCAGAGGCAGGCGGATCTCTGTGAGTTCGAGACCAGCCTGGTCTACAAGGGGTAGTGCCAGGACAGGCTCCAAAGCTACAGAGAAACCCTGTCTCGAAAAATTAAAAAAAAGAAATATAGCCCGAGCCACGTGTGAAAATTTAAAGCCAAGTAGTAGTACTTGAAATTGCTTTTAATGATCGAAGTACTATTTCAGCATCTAAAAGCTAAAAAAAAAAAAAAATCGTGAGAAGTTTTTAGGCTCGAGATCCCGGGGTATAACAGCAACCATTCATGCCAGTTTTGCAACTGCTCCATTTTATCTGCTCAATGTGTCTATATAACCTCTTATATATAGTGGAGCACGAATAATAAAAACCCAGAGACAAATATTTGGGTTCAAGAAGGAGATCAGAAAAGCAAAGCAATCAAGTCACTAAAGAGTTCTGACCTCTACCAAGGTTCAGAAAAAGGGGCGATCCTGTCCTCAATGTGATTACAGACTGCAGAGTTCCTCTTCTCCTACCTTACATCCCTCCTCCACCCCAGCCAGCTACATCACTCCTGCCTCCACCTCCCCAGTGATGGAATTAAAGGCGGGTGACTTCCTAGTGATGGCGTCACACTTTGTGTAAATTCTATTTCTCTCTCTTGTTTTATTTTTTGGAGTTTTTTTGTTTTTTAAATTTTTTATTGCTTTATAAATAATACCAATCAAAATATCCACTTCCTCCTTTCCTCCCATTTCCCTCCTTCTTCCCCCCACTCACCCCTCCCCATTCCTAAGAGAGGACAGGGTACCCAGCCCTGTGGGGTGTCCAAGGCCTTTCCCCCCTCCATCCAGGCTTAGGAAGCTGTGCATCCAAATAGACTAGGATCCCAAAAAGGCAATACATGCAGTAGAGACAAATCCCAGTGCCATTATCATTGGCTTCTCAGTCTGCCCAAATTGTCAGCCACATTCAGAGGATCCAGTTTCTCCCATGCCCCTTCAGTCCCAGTCCAGCTGGTCTTGGTGAGCTCCCATTAGATCAGGCACACTGTCTCAGTGGGTGGACCAACCCCTCGTGGTCCTGACTTCCTTGCTTATCTTCTCCCTCCTTCTGCTCTTCAACTGGATGGACATTGGGAGCTCAGTCCAGTGCTCCTGTGTGGGTCTCTGTCTCTATCTCCATCTGTCACCAGACAAAGGTTCTATGGTGATATTCAAGATAGTCATTATTCTGACTACGGGACAAGGCCAGTTCAAGGGTGCCTGGTTTTACCAGGTGTTCAGATCCAATCAAGAATTCTGTGCTTGTAGCCGGGTGGTGGTGGCACATGCCTTTAATCCCAGCACTCAGGAGACAGAGGCAGGCGGATCTCTGTGAATTCAAGCCAGCCTAGTCTACAAGAGCCAGTTCCAGGACAGGCTCCAAAGCTACAGAGAAACCCTGTCTCGAAAAAACAAACAAACAAAAAAAGAATTCTGTGCTTGTTAGGCAAGCACTATTCTCAACTTCCTTTTCTTTCTCTTTTTTCTTTCCTTTTTGAAATGGGTTCTCACTATATAGCCCTGACTGGCTTTGAATTTGTCCTATCCTCCTGCTTCTGAACACCAAGAACTGGATTACAGGTGTGTGCCACTGTGTCTGGCTTTGGATGGTGACATCAACATTTGTCCCAGCATACTGTTCATCCAGAGAGGCCTGGGCTACTTAGTCAAGTGATGTCCAGGCTTGTTTCCTGGTGTCAGAGGACTCAACCCTGCGAGTGAGTGCCAGGTCTTTGTGTGGCTCCAGGGACTGACCTGACCAGGGGCAATGAGGGAATGAGGAAAAGACAAAGATACACACAGATAGAAAAGCAGGGATTGGGTTCAGTGGACGTTCTGAAGGCACTGTAGTGTGCTGAAGCTTAGAGTGTTTATATAGAACTGGACAAGGAGACAGGGTTTATATACAACTGGATAAGGAGGCAGTGATGGAGGAAGGTCATTGGTTAATTAATAAAGAAACTGCTTGGCCTGATAGGTTAGAACATAGGTGGGTGGAGTAGACAGAACAGAATGCTGGGAAGAAGGGAAGTGAGCTCAGACGCCATGCCGCTCCTCTCCAGGGCAGACGCGATGCAGCCAGCCACCAGGTCAGACATGCTGAATCTTTCCTGGTAAGCCACACAGATTATTAGAGATGGGTTAAGCAAAATATGAGAATTAGCCAGTTAGAGGCTAGAGCTAGTGGGCCTAAGCAGTGTTTAAATAAATACAGTTTGTGTGTTGTTATTTCAGGGCATAAGCTAGCCAGGAGGCCAAGACCCGGGCAGCAGGAACACAGCCCTCAGCTCCCAGAACAAGGTAGGGTTTATATATACACCCGAACAAGGACACAGGTTTTAGCAACCTTAGTGGGAGCAAGGAGAACGCCCAGGTTGCAGGTGTAGGGGGAGCTATAGCAGACATTGTCTGCACACACTATCAGCATTCACACGTGGAACAGAGGAAGGCTTTGCCATCTCTCTCTGAGCCTCACCCACCAGTAGCCACGTGGGGGAGCAATTTGCCTTTTTCCCTGTAGGTCTGAAGCTAGGGTCCTTGACTGTGTCCATGTCAAACAATACACATTTTCACTCAGGACTTCACTCTCAGGGATTCCTCTGCTCCCCACAGAGAAAATTCTTGCCTAGTAGTTAAAAATGTGACATTTTTATTTTTTGCAAATCCTTCAGGCCTATTTTTCATAGTAATTATTTTTACATTTAAACTCTTTAAAAAATAAAGTTGTATTTATTATTTGTGTGTAATGTATGCTATCTCTGTGTATTTGTGATATTGGTATGTGTGTGGTATCTGTGTGTGATAACTGTATATGTGATCTCTCTGTATGCACACATGTGCATGAGTGTGTATGTGTATACACATGTGCACTCGCACACACACATGACACATTCATGCAAACACCAGAGAACAACTTTCAGGCGTTGGTTGTTTCTCTCATTCAGTAGTGAACTCCAACTGAACTAAGATTATCAGGTCTGTACAGCCCCCACTTTACCCAGTGAACCATCTTGCCAAAACCTTTTTTCTAAAGATAGGGTGATACTCTATAGCCAAGGCTGTGCTATCTTGGAACTCAGTATGTACCCAAATCCTTGCCCTGATTGTGCCTCAGTTTCTCCACTGAACAATAAAGACAGAAAGAGAGCAGGTGCTGTATCTCATCAGCGTCTGTGGTCCTGACTCACAGTACAGTGCCAGGCTCAAAACAGTAAGACATAGACACGAAGGATGGGGGTCCCTGCTCTGGGTTTGGGGTGTGTCGCGGCCAACCTCGACCAGCAAGGAATGATGCGACCACCGGAGCTCTTCTTTTTTTTTTTTTTTTTTTTTTTGGTTTTTCGAAACAGGGTTTCTCTATGGTTTTGGAGCCTGTCCTGGAACTAGCTCTTGTAGACCAGGCTGGTCTCGAACTCACAGAGATCCGCCTGCCTCTGCCTCNTCTTGTAGACCAGGCTGGTCTCGAACTCACAGAGATCCGCCTGCCTCTGCCTCCCGAGTGCTGGGATTAAAGGCGTGCGCCACCACCGCCCAGCCACAAACCTCTCCCAGCCCTTAAGGAGGCATGGGCTGCCAACCCCGAACTGCCAGGTGGGCACTGCCCATAGACCCACGCATATGCAGGCAGCTGATGATCATTGCGTGATCATAGCATAGGTCAGGCCTTTAGCCATAGGAGTTGATTATACATCTCCATCAGGTGTGATTCCATGCAGCTCGCTACAGGGGAGCTTTCTTTAGTTTGCAAACTTCTAATCCTCGATTGGACCCGAGGAGGCTGGCATGGCCCGGTGTGGAGTCCCTATTTCCAGGCAACAAGAAAGAACATTTTACTGGAGTCTTTACAAAGAACCACAGTGCACCCATCTCTGCTCTCTCTTTGCTGTGCCCACTAGACACTCCCTCCACTTCCCAATACAAGGCTAATGAATATTTGAGAATAGAAGTAAAAAAGGATTAATGGGTTATATATTTATAAATAACATCCTAGCCTGGAAATATTATCAGCTTTGACTTCGTTTCCCTCTGCCCCTTTGGTGGGGGCTGGAGAGTTGGTTTGGAGGATAAGAATGCAGAATGCATACTGCATTTCCACAGACCCGAGTTCCATCCCCAGCAAGCACATCATGTGGTTATAACCACCTGTAACTCTAATTCCACGGAGACAGGGAGATCCATCAGCTCTGACATCCGGAGGCACCCACCACACACATGCACACCTACAAATACAATTAAAAATAAAACTTTTTTGGTATTACTACTCTGTCCACATGTATGCGTGCAGGCCAGAAGAGGGCATCAGGTCCCATTACAGATATTTGTGAGCCACCATGTGTTTGCTGGGAATTAAACCCAGATCCTCTGGAAGAGCAGCCAGTGCTCTTAACTACTGAGCCATCTCTCCAGCCCTCCAAAATAAAATAAATCTTTTTTTTTAAATGTTAGTTGCAAACTTATTGTGTGGCCCACTCTTAATCTCAGCACTCAGAGGCAGAGGCAGAATAATTTCTGTGAGGTTGAGGCCAGCCTGATCTACATAGCAAGTT